GGGAAATTCGGGACGGGTCCTGTCATGGAGGGAGGGTCATAAGAGAGGCGGGAGTGCGGCTGTGTATGGCAGGGATGGGTTGATTTGAGAACTTATTTTTTTTTTTCACAATATTAAACCCAAATAAATAAGTTAGGGAAAGTACATCAAATGTGGTTTTCTTCTTCTGTCTTACACTCCCCTTCTATTTTCTCACTCTATCGTTTAATCGCTTTTCTGATCGATTTCTCCTTACTAAACAATTGTTTATCAAACATGTTACTATTGTACAAGATTTTCATGTTGTCTTTTGTATATTTTGGCTCATTTTGCTTCAAGATCTTGAATTTGTCGTTTGGTGGTTGACAAATGAAGTGCAGAAAATATATCTAATCTGTAGTTTCTATTCATTTTCGGTACTTTTGATTGCATATCTTGAATTTATATTGTTTGATGGCTGAGAACATGAGGGAAAAACAAACAATTAGAAAATTCATGAACAAGCTATGATGTTAGGGAAAGCATGTGATGGAATGGACACTACAATAAGAATAGAAGAGATTGGTTTTATTAGAAAGGAGAGAAGTACACTGCTTGCTTGGTGTAGAACTATGAGGCTATTAATAATGTAGCTATTGGTTGGCTAATTGGCCTTTCAGTGATGTAACTATTGCTACTTAGTGGGTTTGTAAGACTGCAGGATTTCATACAACACAAAAAAAAAATTTAAAGGACTGCAGGATTCCACTGGCATATTACACAAAGCCTTGTAATCTCCTCTGTTTCTATTAGATTGTGTGAGGCTTAGATATAAGAATAGTGTTTGGCTTTCTAGTAGATTTCTTAGTTACAATTCACATTACAACACTTCCTTATTTATATTGTAAACTTAAGTAAATGGAGTAACATAAAAATAAGTGAAAGTAAAAGGACAAAGACATCTACTAGAAATCGGTTTTAGTGCAAAATACAATTTAGGCTAAAAATGATGGCTCATTAAGTCAATATATACTTCATACTAAAATCTCGTAAAATTAAATTTTCTTATTTGATGTGTAAGGAATAAAAGCCGCCAAAAATTATCTTGAAAAAATGATTATTCTGAAAAACCATTTTTCATACTTAGCCAATATTTTTACTTAAAACAGTTTTTCATGTATGATATGAATGCATAAAGGAACCTAAGGTCAATCTAGGTAAAAAAACTTTAGATGTTCAATCCACAAGGAGTTTTACAAGAATAACCTAACTCTTACGTATTGAAGAAATATTTGCTTGAATAAGCTCCCCTTAAGACAGTACTCATAAAGGTCCAAAGTTTGAGAGCTAGAACTCAAAAGAAATGCAGATAAAGCCCCAAATCAAAACTATGACGGACCTAAAAAATGACGTAAATGCCCTAAAATGAGCAAGATTGCACTAAGATATGTCAGTTCTTATGTCGAATAAGACAAGATGCCTTGGGAGGTGATAAGGATTGCACTAATTTTTTGGTTTATTATCACATTCTTAGATATATTTTTGGTGTATTGCAATGTGTGTTTATTTTTTTAAGTTAATGCAGTTCACTTTGATAATGAACATGAGTATTTTGTATGGTTTTATCTATTAATTATGAATTAGAGTATTATCATTTCATTTCAACGGGTCTATTTTGCATAGAATTTTTTTTAACATTTTACACGTTGACCTCCGGAATGACAATTCATGGATCCGCCACTGCCGGCAAGACTGCCGACTTGACCAACCACCATGTCTACGACTGGCTTTATCAAATATTATCAGCCACATAAGCTGCGGCTTGCTCTAGGCTAGAGCATTCTACAAAACTCCTTATATGTTTGTGGCTATATGTTTAGCCGGCATAGTTCACCGACTTGGTCATTTAGCCCAGTAGCCACCCTCTTCTAGATTCTACTACAATTATCTTAGATATCTGATAGCTATTGTAGCACTTTGGGATTCTAAATTATTACTCTAGAGATTTCTACCAAATGTCCATCACATTTTTACAGTTAAAATAACAGACTCTGCAACCCTGGGAGAAATAAATTGAAATTAAAGCAGAGCCTCCGGATCCTGATTCCTAAATGTATATTAAAGATAGAAATATACCGCATTCAGAAAAGAAGAAAACATACCCCTCCAAGTAATGCGACCCAGACAAGTGTGCAGCTTTTGTAAGAGCTTCCTTCCATCTCGGCACCTTCTTCATATTGTCTTGGAATTTTCTTTCATCATGGTTTGTAAGTTTCTGTTCTTTGAATTTGCGTTCATGGTTATTCAGTGCCTCGCCATAACTACCTCTTTGGTTCCTTACATCTTTGGGATCCACTTTGTAGAAAACTGGCCAAACCATCTGTTGCTTTGATTCTCTACACTGAATGATATGAACAAGTTCATCCAAGCACCACTTCGAGGATGCATAATTTTCAGAGAATACGACGACAGAACACCTCGATCCTTCAATTGCATCGACAAGTGTTTGTGATATTTCTTCTCCTCTTGGGAGGTCATCATCTATGAAGGTTCTGATGCCCCTCTGGACCAAATTATTGTGTAGATGGTCTGTGAAATTGTAGCGTGTGTCCTCACCTCTAAAGCTGAGAAACACATCGTGGGTCCATGAATTGGTGAAAGAACAAGAAAAAGAAGGGGAAGGAGCTCCTAATAATCGAGTGGTGTCTAGATCCATATTGTTGAAAATTGAACAGGCTGAAAGGGTTGGAAATTATAGTGATTTATTGTCCAAGGGTCTCTGGTTGGCAATGCCAGTGGGGAGAAGAATCATCAATCATGTGAGTGAAAAGTCTTCGTCTGCTGGGTCTCTCTAGTCTAGACCCGAGGGACAGTTTTAATTTTTAATTTTATATAATTATTTAATCAATAAAATAAAACTAATTTGTTACTCTTTCAAAAGTTTTCCGTGAATGGCGGAAAGAAGAACCACCTTCATTAGTGGTTGAATCCATCTGATAGCAGAAAAGGATGAGACATCGATGTTGGGAAAGGCTACTTTCCTTTGTTATATATTAGGTGTTTACTCAGTGCTCCGCCATTTGCTTGTATTAAAAATAAAATTAGGCCAACCTATCTGCGATGTAGTTTCCTCTGTCATCAGAGTAGACGAGAAGTCAAAGGCGAATATGAATAAAAGAGAAGACTGCACTTTCGTTGCAACGTACGGTTGTTTCGCAATTCAGAAGTAACGTGGATTTCATCCAACACAAAAAATAAAGGACTGCAGGATTCCACTGGCATATTACACAATAATCCCAAATGTAAGAACCATTCATCCACTAATAGCTTGCAAAAATATAATTCCAATGGAAAAACAAAAAACAAATACACTAGGAATAAGTTTATGTTTCCACTAAAACTTAATTACATGGAGGCAATCTAATGGATCACTAATGATTTTTGAATCAAAACAACCTAGTTATATATAATTACTGAAAAAACTAATGACTCATTTTTCATGGCCAGAGAAGCGAGCAAAGGTCCTTCAACAAATTAAACATGTTTACAAGGTGTCACCAAGGCACAAAACGGTCCATAAGCAAACGAACTTTGGCCTCTGAAAGCGTAGAGGAATCCAAGTCCCTCTGAATCTGAGCCATTCTGCTGCTCTCTTTTCTTGCTTCTTGCTGTTGTTCTTCAACCTCATCATCACCTTCTCCTTGTTTTCCCTTTGATGAAAACACTAGTGGCTTCTTAGCCCCTACCTTGTCTTTCAGCTTTGCCAACTCGCTCATCCAAACCTCCACCACTGCAGACATGCTTGAACTTGAAAACTTGAAATTCTGGCTTGGTCTTGACTCTTGAGTTTGATCAAGGATGATGAGGAGAGCTGGCTATTATGGTTGTTGGGTTATATAGAAGAGAGAGAAAGAGAAAGAGGGCCTTGCCCTTTATGTGGTTTGGATTGGATGAAAAATCAGTGTGTCACAGACAGCAGAGCAGGTCCATTGATTTTGGAGGCCCTGTGCAAATATGGATGTCAAGGCCCTATATATACAAGTAGGAAGAAAAAAATCCATATAGAAACAAAAATTTCTGACACGTGAAGAACACATTCAGAAATAGCTTCCTAGAAAAATTTCTTTAGTCACCCTTCCAAATCACAGAACTGATAAATTGATTTTCCAATTTCAATGCTTGGTGAATTCTCATGTGAATAAGGGAGGGAGAAAAGGACTGTGATTTTGGGGAAAGTGCTAAAGCTTGGGTTTTTACAATCCAAAATTTAATGGAAGAGGGTGGTACACTGGTACTGAAGATAAATGGCTTTATTTTGATGGAGGAGAGTGAGAAAGACTTACTGAAAGAGAAAGAATATTAGAGTGGTTTTGCAGCTTGAGAGTTGGGAAGAGGAAAACACAGGTTTCAGACCATAATAAATAAATAAAAAGAAGAGTTGCAGCGTGAGAGTTGGGAAGAGGAAAATGAATTAAATTAGAGCCTCTACTCTCTAAGTTGTAGAATTTGTTGATAATTAATATTCAATTCAATTTTGGTTTTGGTGCCTTGCATGTGGTGTTGTGGGGTGATATTGCTTATTTCATTTACTAAATTTTCTGAACAAACAAACAGAACCCATCATCTTTGATAGAAAACATAAATAAAATATAGAACCCATCATCATAAAGAAAAGGGACAATGAATTACATAACCAATATTTATAAATAAATAAACACAAATCTGGGATTCTTTCGTAAAGAAAAGGCGAAAATTCTGATTTGAATTCTTGAAGCCTTTGATCCATGGCTTCTCATAGGCAGAGAGAGGAGAGGAGACAGGAGACATGAGAAACAAAATTGTAGTCTAGCAAAAAAAAGGTAATTCGAAACAAAATGAAAAGAATTCAGAGATATGAAAGGCAATCATCAAAACATCTCACCAAACAAAACATTAGGCCCAATTAGGCCCTCCAAACAACTGATAGGATTTTAGTCCTTTTTAGTTGGAGAAGTCTGGTCCAGTCCAGCCCACCAAACGGGGCCCAATAGTATTCCTTTTGTCTTATTCCAACTTTGCAATTCTCTTTCTCCGAAACACCCATTCACCTCTTCCATCATCATCACCAGTAAAAGTAGCCATCTTCATTATCTTCACAGCTGAAGTAGTCACGTTCCGAGTCTTGCTCATCTTCACATAGATCAGTACAATTATCTCCATCAAACCTCTCATTAGCGTATTCCAAGTCATCAGATTCAGACTCACCATCTTCTGTAAATATAGAAAGGTCTTCATCATCCTGTGTCATTACCAGGTGGACCCCGAAGCTTTTAAAACGCAGCATAGTTATTGGCCAAATCCTAAAATGAACTCGACACACAAAAGGCGACTGCGGCCAGGTAATCCGATCCTCCCGGTAAAACATTTCTCTGAATTGAATATAGCACAGCCACACATGACCTGACCCTCTCTTTCTGAAATGGAAATCGCCCGAAATCTGATAAGGTCTCACTCCTGGTTGATCGACGTAAATTACTGTTAGAAAACCATGGCAACGTTGTCTTTCATTTTGCGGGTTTTCAACAGCAGCGTATAGAGCCAATCCTTGGTTCTGGCATTTGAAGTTTGGAGGGATTTCAATCAAAAATTCACATGCTTCATCACGCTCCTTCACATCCTTATGACAGCTGAACAACGTCGAGAGAGCTTCAAAACTTGCTGGGAATACAACCTGAAATCCATGTTTCTGTGAAGACAGAAGGTGATCAAAGAAGAGAGTGATCTGCTTCTTTGCTAAAATGTTTTGCTTCTCTGTGAGGTCACGAGCCAGATTGCCACAGAGTCTGTGGCAATTACACAAGTCCACGAACTCAATCATTTGTGAGTCTTTTTTAACTTTCAGAATGTTGGACAACGATGAAAACCTTTCCAATGATACGCAATCACTTGCATCTAACTTTACTATTTTTGGTGGAAGTTCCGGAATATCTCGAAGCCTCTCGCAGTCATGCAAGTAAAGCTCCCCAAATTGACAAATTTCATAATCCATTCGGGAATACTTACAAGGAAATCACTTCGTGTGAAATCAAGTACGCTCAATGTAGACACACAATCCAGATTACAGAGGAAATTAAATTCTGATAAATTGCTTCCTCCCAAAATGAATTGCCGAAGACTGGGAAGCGCTAAAGGATGTGATCCTGCACTCCCCAAAACTTCTTCGGACTTCACTTTATTTGGAAATGTAACAAGCTTTCGACTTCCTTGGAGATAAATGTGGTTTAGATGTTCCAACTCGTAAATGCCGGGTGGCAGATTCGTAAGATTTTCACAACTTCTTAGGTCTAAATATTCAAGACTGATGAGATATGCAATTGACGCAGGCAATTCTTTGATGCCACTACCACGTAGAAACATGCAATGTAAGGAATCCACCTTTCCCCCAATTTCAGGGAAAGTCTCCAGTCTTCTGCAATATTCAAGATTGAGAACTTCTAGAGATTTTGACTTGATTATTGGAAATAGTGTGAGGTTATGGCAACTCTTAAGACTCAAGTTCACAAGCTTATCATGAAATCCAACAGAAGGATGAACCTCAACTAAACTTGTGCAGTGGTCTAGAGTCAAGGACTGTAAGTGTGGAATTCCAGAGATATTTGGCATATTTGTCAGGAATTCACAGCTCCCAAAATTCATGGACGTCAAATTTTGCAAACGCTATATAAGACAAAAATAGAAAAGAAAAAGAAGGATCAAACGATAAGGTATAAACAAGTTTAAGCCATAACTCCAAAAACTTAATAAACTTTTGAAAATACGAAGGGATGAAAATAATTTAAATTACCTTGAATCCCTCCCCAAGTTGTGACAAGCGGCTACGAGGCATATAAAGTTCAACAAGTTTCCTTGGATTGAAAGTAGATGGTAAAGTTTGTAGAGGACAATCAGGCCAATGAAGAAACCTCAACTCATTAGATAGATAATCCACGTGATCGCCATAAAATCATGCATTCACATTGATGAAAATTCGAAGGTTTTTCATCCTTGAGAAGCTGTCAGCACTCAAGCATATGTCATCTGGTGTCGGAAACTTTGCTTTGATGCCTTTAATATTGTTTGTTCCCTATTATCAAAAAACAGTAGTGTTAACATACAAAGCTCTATAGCAAATAAAAATGCAAGCGTGCGCGCACACACACACACACACACACAGACTTACTGTTCCTTCTGTTAGAACACGATAAACATCCTCGTGAAACCACAATCTGCTACGTTCACCAGGCTCATTTGGCGACTCTTGATAAACTATTCCTCTACCCAATTCTTCAAGCAAGTCATGCATCCCAATTGTGTCTTGTTCAATATTTATGAGGGCCTTGTCTACGAGTACTTTAATAGCATACTTAGGCTTGAGGTCACAACCTTCCAGGATTGGTATCACATCGTACACCTTTCTACCATTAAAGAAACATGCTATGTCAAGGAAAACTTCTTGAACCGAATATTCCAATGCATCATAGCTTATTTTGAGAGTTTTTTTAATGTCCGAGTGCAGATTCCCATCCAATGCATCATGCCACTCATCTATACTTCTACCACATAGATGAGAACCTAAAACCTTGAGAGCTAAAGGAAGACCTTGACAATGCTTCACCACAATTTCTGCAGCTTTCATATAATCATCATCCAAATTTTTATTTCTCCCACCATTCCAACTAATGAAGAGATCAAGAGATTCACCAAAGTTTAATTTCTTGGCCTTGTATATTATACTAACTTGATGAGAAGTTAGCAAATGCTTATCTCTTGTCGTTATGATGATTCTACTGCCCAAACCAAACCAATCGCAACCTCCAACTAAGTTGTTTAACTGGTCCAAATGATCCACATCATCTACAATTACAAGGACCTTTTTACGACTCAACCTTTCCTTTATCACATTGATTACTTTATCGGCACTGGTAACCTTTGTTTCCTTTCCCCATAGAATCTCATCAAGAAGAAGATTTTGTAGGTCGACTAGGCCACCATATGGTATTGATCTTTCTCTTACATTTTCCAGAAAACAACTCCCTTCAAACACATGGGCTAGTGAGTTATAAACAGCTTTAGCAACAGTTGTCTTTCCTATTCCACCAGTCCCCCATATTCCTACCATGCGAACATCATTTCCGTAAACATCTAAAACTTTATGAAGATCTCGTACACGAGCCTCTATTCCGACTTGGTATTTTGCCACATTGATATGGGTATCATTTAATACTTGTAAGGAAATCTTGTTGACAATGTTCTGAATAAATTCAGTTTCACGGCTGCCAATTTGAAGCGCAAACAACATTTAAATAAAATGAGATTTTTCTATATATGTTTTAAAGAAGTGCTCGAGTCGATACTAGTGTCAATTATGTCGTGAATCTATATATAGAAAGTAAAAAGCAGATAATGATGAAACATTCAAAATACCATAAAATGTCATTGGTTAATGCAAACATTAAGAATTGAAATTAATAATTAAATGCGGATAATATGATAAATTCACACTTTTTCATATTAAAAATAAATTAAAATAAAAAAGAAAAGAGAAAAGAAAATACGCGACCAGGCTATGATGTTAGGGAAAGCGTGTGATGGAATGGACACTACGATAACAATAGAAGAGATTGGTTTTCGTAACAGAGTGATTTTATTAGAAAGGAGAGAAGTACACTGCTAGGATATATTAAAGATAGAAATATACCGCATTTAGAAAATTAAAAAAAATATAAATAATAATAAATAAATAAATAAAACATACCCCTCCAAGTAATGCGACCCAGACAAATTTGCAGCTTCTGTAAGGGTTTCCTTCCATCTCAGCACCTTCTTCATATTGTCCTCGAATTTACTTTCATCATGGTTAGTAAGTTTCTGTTCTTTGAATTTGTGTTCATGGTAATTCAGTGCCTGCTTACATCTGAGGGATCCACTTTGTAGAAAACTGGCCAAACCTTCTGTTGCTTTGATTTTCTACACTGAATGATATGAACAAGTTCATCCAAGCACCACTTCGAGGATGCATAGTTTTCAGAGAATACGATGATGGAACACCTCGACCCTTCAATGGCATCAAGAAGTGCTTGTGATATTTCTTCTCCTCTTGGGAGCTCATCATCTATGAAGGTTCTGATGCCCCTCTGGACCAAATTTTTGTGCAGATGGTCTGTGAAATTGTAGCGTGTGTCCTCACCTCTAAAGCTGAGAAACACATCGTGGGTCCATGAATTGGTGAAAGAAGAAGAAGAAGAAGAAGAAGGGGAGAAATAAAAGTAAACATTAAATCATATATATCAAGCTAGTTCATAGTTCCATAGACTAATTTTCAATAAGTTTTAACATAAACTAAATAGGGTTTAACACCATAGTGGATTGAACATCTAAGGCTTTTTACCTAGATTGACCTTAAGTTCCTTCATGCATTCATATCATACATGAAAAGTTGTTTTATGTAAAAATATTGACTAAGTATGAAAAATGAGTTTTCGGAATAATTATTTTCTCAAGATAATTTTTGGCGGCTTTTATTCCTCACACGTCAAATAAGAAAACTTGATTTTATGGGATTTTAGTATGAAATATATATTGACTTAATGAGCCATCATTTTTAGCTTAAATTGTATTTTGTACTAAAACCGATTTTTCATATTTTGACTTTGTGGGAATTTGATTTTCTAGTATTTTTATTTTAATCCAAATGGGGGGTACTTCCTTATTTACATTGTAAACTTAAGTAAATGGAATAATATAAAAATAAATAAAAGTAAAATGAGAAAGACATTTACTTAAATGTTGAAAATGGAAATAAAGTAAGATGTACAGCGCCACTAACTGGGCTAATATTGAAAATAAGTTAAATATATAGGTTTTATATTTTTTTTCTTAAAAACTCACACTAGGCTACAGCCCACTGTAGCATTTAGTGTGGGTCCGCCCATGGCTGAAAGGGTTGGAAATTATAGTGATTTATTGTCCAAGAGTCTCTGGGTGGCAATGTCAGTGGGGAGAAGAATAATGCGAGTGAAAAGTCTTCGTCTTTCTGGGCCCCAAGAGCCCCTACCTCTGCTGGGTCTCTCTATTCTAGACCCGAGGGACAGTTTTAATTTTTTTTAATTTTTAATTTTATATAGTTATTTAATCAATAAAATAAAACTAGTTTGTTACTTTTTCAAAAGTTTTCCGCGACTGGCGGAAAGAAGAACCACCTTCATTAGTGGTTGAATCCATTTGATTGCAAAAAAGGATGAGATATCGATGTTGGGAAAGGCCACTTTCCTTTGTTATACATTAGGTAGGTGTTTACTCGGTGCTCCGCCATTTGCTTGTATTAAAAATAAAATTAGGCCATCCCATATGCGATGTAGTTTCCTCTGTCATCAGAGTGGATGAGAAGTCAAAGGATGAGATATCGATGTTGGGAAGGCGATGTAGTTTCTTATTATAAGACCTAATATTTTGGATATTGTCGACAAAATTTTGAAAAATAATATTGATTCCTTTATCGACAAAATGGCCTAATTATTTACAGAATTTAAGTCAATTTTAAACAAAAATTGATTAAAAACCCAAGAGAAATACTTTCGTATTTTAATCATCACTAGATACACGCACATTATACATAGGACACGCTTAGGATATTCATTAGGAAATAAAATCAATAGGATCAAAATTTGTTGTTTATCAGATATAGGATGATAAGCTAAATTAGATAGTCTCAATATGAACTGAATATCACTCAAACTCACTATGCAACACATTTCATTCAATTATTTTGTGCTAAAATAATTGACTACTTGAACATCTTCTAAAAGTTTCATTACGTCCATGGGGTATAACTCAGTTGATTGAGCTCTTCCACCTCCACTCATGTGGGCAAAAGTTCGAGACACCTTGGCACCCAATGAATATTTGTGTAAACCACCCTCCCCCAATTACTTGTGCTATAAAAATAAAATAAAATAATTACAAATTCCCATGTTTTTCTTATCATTTCCATTGTTTTTTTAAATCTAGTTTTTATCAATATAGATAATTTTTCTTATCATTTCCATTGTTTTTTAACTGTCCTTATTTATTGTAAAATTAATGAGACAAAAACTATTTATAACAAAAACCATGATTTCACTCATAATAAGCATCAATATACATCACAGATACAAAGTAGTTGCCTGTCATCTTTATAGTGGATGTGAAGTCAAAGGGAGTAAGAAAATGGTCAAAAGGAAACAACGACAAACCACAAAAAGAAAAAGAAAAATGAAGCATCACTACACTTTCGTTGCAACATGGTTGTTTACCAAGTAGTTGGGGGTGTGAAAAAAAAGACAAAAGGTCGATTGATGATGAAGATGACTAAAATAGATCAGGATTGTCAAAAATAACCTCTATAATTGTTAGAACACAAAATTTTGTTATTGGCGAGTCAGTTAATTCATAATGTGTCATGCTATTATGCTTGTTGGGTTATACAGCCGCTGGTTATAGGCTCGCACACAGGATTTAGTTTTAGGAATATTCCTTGGAGAGAGAGAGAGAGAGAGAGAGAGTAGAAAGTGGGGTATGAGTTTTGTTGAGTGAATGAAAAGCTTCCCCGTGGGCGGGCGCACGAAACTCTCTTCTTTAGATTGTGGTCAACTTGGCGTATTGCTATTCATCAATAGTATTCCACTGCATCTTAGTTTTTCTTTGGTCTTATTCCAACATTGCAAATCTCTTTCTTCGAAATTCCTATTCACCTCTTCATAATCATCATCAGTAAAAGTAGCCATCTTCATTATCTTCACAGCTGAAGTAGTCATGTTCCGAGTCTTGCTCATCTTCACATAGATCAGTACAATTATCTCCATCAAACCTCTCATTAGCATCATCTTCCAAGTCATCGGATTCAGACTCACCATCTTCCGTAAATATAGACAGGTCTTCATCATCCTGTGTCATTACCAGGTGGACCCCGAAGCTTTTAAAACGCAGCAAATCTTCTATCAAATTATGAAAACTAACTCTACATGCAAAAGGCGACTGCGGCCAAGTAATCTGATCATCCCCGATAAAACATTTCTCTAAATTGAATATAGCATAGCCATGTTAGAGTTTATATAGGAAAATGCACTTGCATTTAGTCCCACATTGGAAGAGAGTTGTTTCCTTCCATGGTTTATCAGCACTAACACTTTAGAAATATTAAATAGAGTATGGGCCTAATGGAGGCAAAGTTGGCCCTTATTATGGTTTGGGCTTGGATTATATATATATTTGTGTAATAAATATATATATAATTAATTGTCAAAAGATGGGCCTTGGGGCTCTGTTGATTTAATTAATAATTTATTTATTTTAATTGAAAATTCGTTTTGTCAGATAAAACCAAAATATGAAATTCAAATAAGTTAAATAGTTAACATAACTGTTGGATGAAGAGGTGTCAAACCTCTATATATTGACAATACGTTCAAACTAGAAAGAGACTTTTGAACAACATTATCGTTCTCACATTTTTAACACTTCCTGAGAGAATTCATACCACTGTTCGCCAAAAATCAAAGCCATTGTGCTTAGGCTTTGATTTAAGATATATAGTTTAATTCTGGTGGACAGACTCTTATCGAACTACAAGCACAAGGGTAGAGGAGAAATTATATATATACTAAAACTGAGTTCACGAATTCACTGTTCTTAGATTGTAGCTTAGGAATAGTGAACTGTCGATATTGCCCTTTATTGAATTTTCCCTTATGTTCCCTTTTTGCCCCTCTCTCTTTGGATGCTAACTCTCCCCACTGTTTCGTTTACTCACAACGATCGTCTGCTTCGAACCAGCTTGGTTGGGCTGGTTGGGGGCGGCTATGGAAGATCTGCGTTCACTATTCTACATGCGTGGGGGACCGTTGATTTTCGTTTGGGGAGGCGCGCTGCAAATCCAACCGCCCTTTTGGTCTTCATCTTATTGGTTTTCATATAAAATGTTGGGTTTGAGTGTTGCCATTCCAGCTGCGCTTCATCCTTCTTCTCATCACACAGGTTTAGCTGAAAGGGATTTCTGGGTTTCGTAAAAAAAAAAAAAGGTTGGTTTCAACGTTCTTTTGGTTTTCTAGGTTGGTTTATTCATTTATCAAAGTAAATCAGAAATTGAGTTTGGTTTGTTGTTACAGGGAGGAAGATCGAAGGAAAAAGAACTGGAGTAATTAATATATGAATCCCCAGTCTGCTCATCAATCTGGTAATTGATGTCTGTGTGGCTGATTTTCTATTTGCCTGTGGTCATAGACTCCTCCTTTTTTTCTTTTTTCTTTTTTATAAATTTTTTTTTATAAATTTTATAATTATTTTAATGACTCCAAATTTTAGTTGGTTTGGGTAATTGTTGTTGTTGGAGAATTGGATTAGATTTTATTTCTTTTTTCCATTCTCTCTCTCTAATTTTTGGTTCCTGATGGAATTTTTGCTTCAATTTTTGCTCTTTTTGGTTCAATGAAGAAAGCATTTAGGTTTGATCTATTTACTATCTCTAATTTTTGGATCCTAATGGGATTTCTTTCATTATATATGTTGCTTCTCCGTAATGAGATTTCTTTCATTATATACGCTGCTTCTCCAGAGCACCAATGAAGAAAGCATTTAGATTTGATGGGTTTGTTGTCAATGGTATGAATCTCTCTCTCTCTCTCTCTCTCTCTCTCTCTCTCTCTCTCTCTTTTTGTTTTTGTTTTTGGTTCACCAAATGGTTTTCATCTATTCTAATTTTCTGATTTTTAAATTATTTTTCGAGGATTAATGGAGATGATGTGGCTCATAGAATCAAAGCACGATAGATAAAATGGAGGGTTTTGTTAAACATATATCTAATATTTTTCTAGAATTGAAAGCTAAGTTTATAGAACATCTGTTAGACTAGCCATGTTATATGGGACTGAATGCTGGACAGTTAGAAAACAGACATATTCATAGTTCCTGTAGGTACATATTAGCCAAATGTTACAACCAGCACGGTGATATGCACACCTCTCTCTCTCTCTCTCTCTGTGAAAATAGATGCTCATTGAGCAACCCACAATCTAACAGTGGGATCTTTACTTCTCTCTCTCTCTCTCTCATTTTTGGTTCCTGATGGAATTTTTGCTTCAATTTCTGCTCTTTGTTTAATTTTTTTTTCATGCGAAGCATCAATGTAGAAAGCATTTAGGTTTGATATGTTTACTATCTCTAATTTTTTATTATATTTGCTCTTTCTCCAGAGCACCAATGAAGAGCATTTAGATTTGATGGGTTTGATGTGAATGGTATGACTCTCTCTCTCTCTCTCTCTCTCTCTCTCTCTCTCTCTCTCTCTCATTTTTGGTTCCTGATGGAATTTTTGCTTCAATTTCTGCTCTTTTTAGTTCAATGAACAAAGCATTTAGGTTTGATCTGTTTACTATCTCTAATTTTTGGATCCTAATGGAATTTCTTTGATTATATATGCTGTTTCTCCAGGGCACCAATGAAAAAAGCATTTAGATTTGATGGGTTTGATGTCAATGGTATGAATCTCTCTCTCTCATTTTGGTTTTGTTTTTGGTTCACCAAATGGTTTTCGTCTATTTTGATTTTTTTTTAATTATTTTTCAGGGATTACTCTCTCTCTCTCTCTATCTCTCTGTCTCTGTGTCTTCTGGATATTGTTAGTAAACTTTAACAAATTAACAAATTTCCTTCTCTCCATCTCTGCTTTTGCTTACCTAAATTGCATTTGTTTTTTTTGGCATCCGCATATGGTTTCACTTTAATTTCTGATTTTTTAAAGCATGAACATGACTTGCAAGACACCCTGCACTTTTTTTTTTTCTTTTTTTTTCTTAGGTAACGCTCTGATTTCGTTCTGGAATTCCATTTTTATAGAAAATATTCTCTCTTTCTCTTTGGGTGATTTTGTTATCCATTTCTTTTGCTTTTTCGTTCTGGCTAAGCTTTTACTAGCAGCATTACCAAACCTCTCTTCGAATCCAAGTTTTTAGTCTACGTCTGTGGGGAATTTTTCAGCTTCCAAATTTTGCTTTAGTTTCCACACTGGCCAATTTGTGTTGGACTTTTTAGTGGGTAGTTGCCAAAACCTTGGATTTGGAACTCAGTGATATTTATTTCAACAATTGACTTTTTAGTGGAACTCAGTGACTTTTTAGTGGGTAGCACTTCATATTAGTTTTTGGTGAAATAAATATTCAGTTTAAGTTTCATGCTTTATGATTTGTAATGTTACAATTCTTTTGTAGTTACAAAAGTAGTAAAATAAATTATCCCAACTATTCAAAAGTATATTTATATTTGGCATCATCTCATGTTGTGTACGAATTGAGCAATGAAAAGGTGAAAGATAAATTATAGAGAAACATGTGGCGCAAGTGTTGCATTTGTATTGTTTTGGTTTCATTCTTTTGTTGTAATAATGCCTCATTGTCTTTTTTTCCCCCGCCACTTGAAGCAGTACTATTTGATATTGATGGAACTCTTTGTGATTTAGATCCCATTCATTTCAATGCCTTCCACAAAATGCTTTCATAGATAAAGTGACTGTTTGTTTCCTACTATTCTGTCATAAGGAAAATATGGAGGATTTATCTGGTCATAATTTGACATTTTTCTTGGGTTATATGGACTACAATGTGTTCAATTAGAAAGCGTTAGTTCATTTGATGTTTTTAGTTGACGTGGTGATTTTCATTTATTTTCATTTTTTGTAAGATGTTAACAGTGTACAAGAGAGTCAAGAAAAAGCTGTGAGTAGGAGGAGGTTCTTTGCAGGCTAGACAAGGGTGAAATTTATTTTTCTCTTTCCTGTTTTCGTTCGAAACTTTTTGTTCACTTATTGTCCTTGAATATTATGCTCAAAGCAGTTAACTTTTCGTTCAAAATGTTTTATTTGTGTTTCTTGATTTGAATGAAAGCTTGGTATTTCCTCCCTATTTTTTGGGTTTCTTTCATTTTATACTGTCTTCATATATTTTGCTCCACTGGTGATTAGAGACCCTAAAAAAACTGCCATACAAATTTGATTAGACTTGGAATATTCTTTTAAAATTTGTTCATAGCCAATTCCTATTATACCATTTTTAATAATTTGTACCAACAGAGTTAAAACCCCCGCAGAAGACAAGAAAGAACAGAAACCACTTCTACAATAGAGCCAGCAACAGATAGAACTCCTTTCAACAGACATCAAGGCAGAAAAATCCCCTTCCCACACCAGTAGCATATATGTAAAGGCAATACCATTTTTAATAATTTGTACCAACAGAGTTAAAACCCCCGCAGAAGACAAGAAAGAACAGAAACCACTTCTACAATAGAGCCAGCAACAGATAGAACTCCTTTCAACAGACATCAAGGCAGAAAAATCCCCTTCCCCCACCCGTAGCATATATGTAAAGGCAAAATTGCTGATATTTTGTTGCTACTTGGTTTATTAAAATATTGATCATATTTTAATAAACATGAAAAGAAACATATAAAACATGTTATCAGTCTTTATTTTGTAACTTGCTACATATTTTTACAACTTTGTACACATTTCAGACGATTTTAAAACCCGCAACATCGTGCAGGCACCTTTACTAGTACTATATAAAAGACACTGCAACTCTGCAGGACTCTATTTACAATTCAAGTCAGTATTCTATAATTTATATTACTGTTGTATTGATTCAATTATATATATATATAATATAGTTCGTTTGTTTTATTATTCTGTTATTTTGGTTTTATACTGATTGTTCTACAACAAGCCACACATGACCTGACCCTATCTTTCTGAAATTGTAATCGAACCGAATAAAATTTTTAATCCAATCTTGGTTGATTGACGGAAATTTTTCCTTGAAAACCAGGGTAATTTAGTCTTGTCTTTTGCGGGTTTTCAACAGCAGCGTATAGAGCCAATCCTTGGTTCTGGCATTTGAAGTTTGGAGGGATTTCAATCAAAATTTCACATTCTTCATCACGCTCCTTCACATCCTTATGACAGCTGAACAACGTCGACAGAGAGCTTCAAAACTTGCTGGAAATACAACCTGAAATTCATGTTTCCGTGAAGACAGAAGGTGATCAAAGAAGAGAGTGATCTGCTCCTTTGCTAAAATGTTTTGCTTCTCTGTGAGGTCACGAGCCAGATTGCCGCACAGTCTCTGGCAATTACACAAGTCCACCAACTCAATCATTTGTAAGTCGTTTTTTACCTTTCAAAATGATACGCAATCACTTGCCTCTAACCTTTCCAATGATACCCAATCACTTGCCTCTAACCTTTCTATTTTTGGTGGAAGTTCCGGAATATCTCGAAGCCTCTTGCAGCCATAAAAAAGTAAAGATCCCGCAAATTAACAGAGTTTGTAATGCATTCGGGAATACTTACAAGGAAATCACTTCGTCTTAGATCAAGTATGCTCAATGTAGACACACAATCAAGATTCCTCAGGAAATTCAATTCTGATAAATTGCTTCCGTCCAAAGTGAATATCTTAAGAATGGGAAGCGCTAAAGTATGTGATACTGCACTCCCCAAAACTTCAAACAAGTTTAAGCCATAACTCCAAAAACTTAATAAACTTCTTAAAATACGAAGGGATGAAAATAATTTAAATTACCTTGAATCCCTCCCCAAGTTGTGACAAGCGGCTACGAGGCATATAAAGTTCAACAAGTTTCCTTGGATTGAAAGTAGATGGTAAAGTTTGTAAAGGACAACCAGGCCAATGAAGAAACCTCAACTCATTAGATAGATAATCCACGTGATCGCCATAAAATTGTGCATTCACATTGATGAAAAGTCGAAGGTTTTTCATCTTTGAGAAGATGTCATCACTCAAGCATATGTCATATGGTGTCGGAAACTTTGCTATGATGCCTTTAATATTGTTTGTTCCCTATTATAAAAAAACAGTAGTGTTAACATACAAAGCTCTTTAGCAAATAAAAATGCAAGTGCGCACACACACACACACACGCACACACACGCACTTACTGTTCCTTTTGTTAGAACACGATAAACATCCTCGTAAAACCACAATCTGCTACGTTCACCAGGCTCATTTGGCGACTCTTGATAAACTATTCCTCTACCCAATTCTTCAAGCAAGTCATGCATCCCAATTGTGTCTTGTTTAATATTTATGAGGGCCTTGTCTACGAGTACTTCAATAGCATACTTAGGCTTGTGGTCACAACCATCCAGGATCGGTATCACGTCGTACACCTTTCTACCTTTAAAGAAACATGCTATGTCAAGGAAAACTTCTTGAACCGAATATTCCAATGCATCATAACTTATTTTGAGAGTTTTTTTAATGTCCGAGTGCAGATTCCCATCCAATGCATCATGCCACTCATCTATACTTCTACCACATAGATGAGAACCTAAAACCTTGAGAGCTAAAGGAAGACCTTGAGAATACTTCACCACAGTTTCTGCAGCTTTCACATAATCATCATCCAAATTTTTATTCCTCCCACCATTCCAACTAATGAAGAGATCAAGAGATTCACCGAAGTTTAATTTCTTGGCCTTGTATATTATACTGACTTGATGAGAAGTTAGCAAATGCTTATCTCTTGTCGTTATGATGATTCTACTGCCCAAACCAAACCAATCACAACCTCCAACTAAGTTGTTTAACTGGTCCAAATGATCCACATCATCTACAATTACAAGGACCTTTTTACAACTCAACCTTTCCTTTATCACACTGATTCCTTTATCGGCACTGGTAACCTTTATTTCCTTTCCCCTTAGAATCTCATCAAGAAGAAGATTTTGTAGGTCGACTAGGCCTCCATATGGTATTGATCTTTCTCTTACATTTTCCAGAAAACATCTCCCTTCAAACACATGGGCCAGTGAGTTATAAACAGCTTTAGCAACAGTTGTCTTTCCTATTCCACCATTCCCCCATATTCCTACCATGCGAACATCATTTCCGTAAACATCTAAAACTTTATGAAGATCTCGTCCACGGGCCTCTATTCCGACTTGGTATTTTGCCACATTGATATGGGTATCATGTAATACATGTAAGGAAATCTCGTTGACAATGTTCTGAATAAATTCAGCTTCACGGCTGCCAATTTTAAGCACAAACAACATTTAAATAAAATGGGATTTTTCTATATATGTTTTAAAGAAGTGCTCGACTCGATACTAGTGTAAATTATGTCATGAATCTATATATATAAAGCAAAAGACAAAGAATGATGAAACATTCAAAATACCAGAAAATGGTATAACTATTGTATTATACAGCCATATTACACGAAGCCTTGTAATCTCCTCTGTTTCTATTAGATTGTGTGAGGCTTAGATATAAGACTAGTGTTTGGCTTTCTAGTAGATTTCTTAGTTACAATACACATTACAACACTTCAATCCTATTTATTTGCAAGTTTTCCGGAAAGACTGCCGACTTGACCAACCGCCATGTCTACGACTTGGCTTTATCAAATATTATAAGCCACATAAGCTGCGGCTTGCTCTAGACTAGAGCATTTCTCTCTCTCTCTCTCTCTCTCTCTCTTTTTTTTTATATATATATATATATATATATATATATATATGTATATTAGTTGTGTGGCAAGTTACGTGAATCTAACATTAACTAGTATAGCCTATCAAATCTTATTGTATGGCTTTAACTATATCAATTCATTTCAGCCTTATTTAATGTTTATTATATACACACACTTTACAAAAGCATTTAGAAAGATTTTTTGTTTGCTTACTAAGCTTTTTGTTAAAGATTGATGTGTTGCAATATGGAGTCCTCAAAACCAATTAAAGCATGAGGTGGGATATATTGGCATGAGGTGTAAGAACACTAGGTATCCCTATATATATAAACTTAATTGGAGAGTGCTCACTAAGCACTCTACAAAGCCAACACATAAGGCTATTTTGGGGTGACAGATTACTTTCAAGCCACCCAAGTAGTCTAGCAACCTATAGGCTAGTTATGTGGCACAATATTAAGCTTTCATCTAAATCTTTGCCGACTCTAGCTTGCTATAAATAGCACTATCTAATAGTTCTTGTATCATAGGTTCTTCAAGTTGCGTTAGTTTCCTAAAAATCATACACAAAAGAAAAAAAAAAGAGTGAGAATTAAGAGTGGTGAGATTTTGGAGAAGCTCGAAGTGTTTGGACTTGCAACTGGGAGTTATACAATAGCTTTGGATTTGAGGTAAGGATTTTTCTTGGGGAAGCTTTACATAAATTGATTTAATTAAATATTGTGAATACTATATTATGCTTGGTAATATTATTTGATTATTATCCATGATATTGGGTATTTACATGTTGTCAATTATCATTATAATTTGATTAATATTGACATGTTCATATGTTATTGGTGATGGTTGGAATTCTTGGGTTGGTAAAAAAAATTATGGAAAAGAAGGTAATGGGAAGGTTCTTTTGTGTAGCTGAGTCTGACAATTGTAGGGACCAAGTTCAGGAGAGCCCTTGTGCACAGTAGATTAGGAAATTGGCGGTATAAATGTCGATTAATTGGGTGATTTGAGCTTGGAGATCATTGGTGTAGACAAGATGACTAGTGTTGATACCGTGACTAACTGAGCAACTAGCTAGGCAAGATCAGCCACATGCCATGCTATGAGAGGTCATCATCTTAGCCAAAGAAGCCTTACCACAAGTCACAACTAGGGACAATATCAAGAGTCCCACATTGGAAGACAACAAGATGTGTAGACTCCCCCTCATTTATAAAAGGAGACCACTCTTCACTTAGGAAAAGATCCTTGGCCTGGGCATTATCTTTATACAAATTTATAAATAAACCCAATCCTAGACATGTATTTATAAAAAAACCCAAGTACTATTTAAACATAGAAACACACCCAAAATCAACCCTAAAGTCAACTTTTTGGGTGTGTTTATAAATGGGTTTTGAGTGTATGTAATGATGGGTTTTGGGTGTGTTTATATGTTTAAATAGTGCTTGGGTTTTTTTATAATTTCAACCCCCATTTTGGGTGTTTTAGTGAAACTCCCTTATCTTTAATCATGGGCTTCTCCCTTCTTACCTTTATATTTGGGTCCAACCCCATATACAAATGTAAACATACATTATTATAATGAGAATATACTTCTCCATGGACGTGGCCCATTCATTAAGGGTGAACCACGTATATCTTGTCTTTTGTATATTTATTGCTTGCCCAAATCCTCACACACTTGGTGAAGGTCCTCACCTTCACCCATCATCCATCACACACACCTCATCACTAAGTTGGACTCAATCTTGGCCGAACCATTTTTGAGCATCAACAACTAGCAAAAGGGGAATTACGGGATAACTGAGATGGGTGTTAGTTTATATAATGGGGTATTCGGAATCACAGTGGTAAAATGTATGGTATGGGACATGCAAATTTGCATGCCTTATTGGGAAAAATTGAAGTTCATTCATTCATTGCATAAATTGTACATTATAAATCTCACTAATCACATAAGACATAGGACCCCTACTAAGCATGTAGTGCTCACCCCTTATTGAATCTATTGCATGTTTTGAATCTGAAGTTTAGTTTGTGACGAGGAAATAAGAAGAACGAGTTGTGGATAGTTTTGAATGTTTTGTTGGAAGTTCGTTACTTTCTTGTTATTTTGTTTGTAAAATTACAATGTAAATTACTTTGGTTTAAATAGAAGTTTATGTTCAATTAATCTTCATGTTTCTTGATATTTAATTTTTTTAGTTTTAATTTTTCTTTTACCTCACACTCCAAATATAAAAAAATAATTGCAGTGTGACACTACTACAATTATCTTAGATATCTGATGGCTATTGTAGCACTTTGGGATTCTAAATTATTACTCTAGAGATTTCTACCAAATTTCCATCACATTTTAACAGTTACAATAACAGATTCTGCAACCCTGGGATAAATAAATTGAAATTAAAGCAGGGCCTCTGGATCCTAAATGTATATTAAAGATAGAAATATACCGCATTTAGAAAAGAAAAATATATATATATTTCTAAAAAAAATTATAAAAATAAAAAAATAAAAAAACATACCCCTCCAAGTAATGCGACCCAGACAAATTAGCAGCTTCTGTAAGGGTTTCCTTCCATCTCAGCATCTTCTTCATATTGTCCTTGAATTTACTTTCATCATGATTAGTAAGTTTCTGCTCTTTGAATTTGCGTTCATGGTTATTCAGTGCCTCGCCATAACTACCTCTTTGGTTCCTTACATCTGAGGGATCCACTTTGTAGAAAACTGGCCAAACCATCTGTTGCTTTGATTTTCTACACTGAATGATATGAACAAGTTCATCCAAGCACCACTTCGAGGATGCATAGTTTTCAGAGAATACGATGATGGAACACCTCGATCCTTCAATTGCATCAAGAAGTGCTTGTGATATTTCTTCTCCTCTTGGGAGCTCATCATCTATGAAGGCTCTGATGCCCCTCTGTACCAAATTTTTGTGTAGATGGTCTGTGAAATTGTAGCGTGTGTCCTCACCTCTAAAGCTGAGAAACACATTGTGTGTCCATGAATAAGTGGAAGAAGAAGAAGAAGAAGAAGAAGAAGAAGGGGAAGGAGCTCCTAATAATTGAGTGGTGCCTAGATCCATATTGTTGAAAATTGAACAGGCTGAAAGGGTTGGAAATTATGGTGATTTATTGTCCAAGAGTTTCTGGTTGGCAATATTGTCAGTGGGGAGAAGAATCATGTGAGTGAAAAATCTTGGTCTTTCTGGGCCCCGAGAGCTCCTACCCCTGCTGGGTCTCTCTAGACCCGAGGGACAGTTTAACCAAAAATAAACGTAGTAATAATAACACACTAGTAACAGCACTCTCACCCAATTGTCATGAAAAAGAGCAAGGGCTGTTACTATTTATACAAAATTGGTCGAGGAAAGTACTTGGTACTCTGTACTTAAGACAGTTTATGCCCCACTTCATGATCGCAATTATCTCCTAAGATACAACCACCACTTACAATTGTAACTTTTTTCATTTTACATTTCAAACTTCAAATTCAGTCGGCAATTAGACCAGTATTAACTAGTACAAACACCTTGCATTTTTATGCAAACCCTTTGTGTCTAGAAACAATTCTGCACTAAAAGTAGTTTTCAGTTCAACATTGGTCGTGTGTGTTTACTTTCTTGTCTCTCCACACCAACTTCCAAAACCACAGCAAAGCTAGCTGCAGTCATTTTGTTACAAAATCAACTTGATGTATTTTGTTTTTGTATGTTCGTTTGTTAAAAATAGTTTATGGTTTAATGGTTTGTCCTTAAACTCTTGGTTTATATATAATTTCTTTAAATCCAAATGTAAGAACCATTAATTCATCCGCTAATAGCTTGCAAAAATATGATTAAAATGGAAAAATTATAAACAAATACACATTAAATTAATAATACATTTAGATATATATATATATATATGCAAGATTAGACTAATATTTAATTACAAGGTGTCACCAAGGCACAAAACGGTCCATAAGCAAACAGACTGTGGCCTCTGAAAGCGTAGAGGAATCCAAGTCCCTCTGAATCTGAGCCATTCTGCTGCTCTCTTTTCTTGCTTCTTTCAACACTTGTTGTTCTTCAACCTCATCATCACCCTCTCCTTGTTTGCCCTTTGATGAAAACACCATTCGCTTCTTAGCTCCTACCTTGTCTTTCAGCTTTGCCAACTCGCTCATCCAAACCTCCACCACTTCAGACATACTTGGTCCTTGGTACTACTTGAAAACTTGAAATTATTGCTTGGTCCTGACTCTTGAGTTTGATCAAGGATAATGAGGAGAGCTGGCTATTATGCTTGTTGGGTTATATAGAAGAGAGAGAGAGAGGGGGGCTTGCCCTTCATGTGGTTTGGATTGGGTGAAAAATCAGTGTGTCACAGCCGTTGGATATAGGCTCGCACACAGGATTTAGTTTTAGGAATATTCGTTGGAGAGAGCGAGAGAGAGAGAGAGAGAGAGAGAGAGAGAGAGAGAGTAGAAGTGGGGTATGAGTTTTGTGGAGTGAATGAAAAGCTTCTCCGTGGGCACACGGAACTCTCTTCTTTAGATTGTGGGCGACTTGGCATATTACTATTCATCAATAATATTCCATTGCAATTTAGTTTTTCTTTTGTCTGATTCCAAGCAATTCTCCGAAAGGCTGTTTGGGGAATTGTATTGGTAAAATTGGGGATCCACAATTTGGTGAATTTTGAGGTGAGAATCGAAGGAAGTTGGACCCGCTCAGCTCCAAAATGTTGATTTACCCCTCCTCCACGTGTTTATTTTAAAGAATTGCCCTTAATTGAAATCTTAAGCCAACTTCAATTTCCAAAATTAACTATTTAAGTCCTTTTTTTGTTACAAAACTTAAGTCCTTTGAGTTTTTCTGATCTTGTAATAGTCTTTTGTGGTGTGGGTCGAACTCCCTTCTTAGTCGTTGGCATGTGTGATACTCTTATTCTATAGTTTGTTTCAAGTGGTTTTCCTAGGAAGGTTTTAATGAAACTACTGTATTCATGTCTGTCTTTCTATGCCGTTTTAGCTTATGAATGAAATCTTCTTTAAAAAAAAAATATTAAGTTCTTTGGGTACATAAAAGATCTCCAACTTGACAAAAGAGGATATTTTCTTTACAATCCAGTCAAATTTTCCTTTGGCTCCCTACACATGTTCGTGAAAGCTTCTTTAAATAATTTCGCAGTCACTTGGACCAATGTTGACGTCATAAACACATGGTTTTGGGCCCCTGTATGTGGGGCAAATATTTGGCATTTGTGATTGTAAATCAATTGCACTGCTAGCCATCTTGCTTATTCCATAATAGCTTTAAGTGACCTTAGTCGTAGCTTCAAGTTACGAAAAAACTTAGACTATATGCACATTATATTTATAATTTACAAGCAATACAATAAAATGAAAAAACTCATCTTGCTCATCTCTTACTCCATAGGTCCACTAGCGAAGATAAGACTAAATATCTTCTGCACCAATAAGAAGTCAAAAGTGTAGAGCAAAGAAAGAACTCTTCAACAACTCCAAGTGTGTGAAATTAAGGGGGATATTTTGGAAGATATATAGAAACTTGGTAGGGTCTAAAGACTATATATATAAACAATAAAGTAAAGCAATTAGTGTTGGAAGTTTGAATGAAATCCAAGACATCTTTTGTCTCCTATTGATAGAATAGACAAAGAGATTGGTTCTTATAATTATGGAGTGTCCCACACTTGGTAGATGGACAGTAGACCTAGTGGAAGTAATTTGAGCTTCACATTGGGTATGGACTTTAAATATTATGATTAATTATATTTTTTGTCACTCGGGTTTGCCTCGAAATCAAATTTGGTCACTGTGATTTTAATTTTTCCAATTTGACCACCGTACTTGGAATTTTATTTGGCTTTTGGTTATGGAATGTAATAATGTAATCAATGATACCCATTTGTTATTTAAAATTTTTTAGATTGGGGCATTCCAGAGTTCACTCCTCAAGAATTAGAACGGAACCCGTGTTTTCTGAAAATGCGAAAAACACATGTAAAGTCGTTTTCAATTTTACAACAATTTAACACCTCGTGATGTTTTTATAAAAATAAAAAATAAAAACAATATCCTGTGTTTTCTAAAGCCAACGCACCAAACAGATATATGCGTGTTCTTGTTCTCAGAAAATAGAAAACACATTTGAAAAACGATATAGAACGGGCCCTAGTATATCCTTTTTGAATTAGTCTCTTATAATTGTATTGCATGAGCGTGCCATTATTAGTGCTATTATTAATGGCCCAATAGAAAGATGAATTTATTATAAGATGTGCTTCAAACAAACTAATTTCCAATCAAATTATTGTGCTCTAAGTGGAGAACTGAGTCAGATTGGTTCTTTTCTATGCTTCAATACAATTAAGGACTTTATTATTTTCCTAGTACAAAAACTAAAACAAAAGGAAAGCAAAATAAAACAACAAAACCGTGCCAAAACCGTATGGCTGGAATCAAGACTATCACCACTTTAACTCGCCTCAGATCGCCTGGAAGCTCATCAGAAAGCCTGGACAGTTCAAAGTTGGAGAACTTGATGACAGTTTGTCAAGACCCGAAAGTTAGGCAACAAGATAACTACAACTTGGGCAAGAAATGAGAACAAGCACAACTTGAATGCCACGCTAGTTGGAAGTAGTACCACCATTTGGCATAGAAACAAAAAATAATATGTGGGAAATTTCCTAGTGTTGTCAATTCGAGATTTTAAAAAACTAGGGGAATCTTTGAATACGTGTTTGAAATATTGTAGATGTTGTGTTTAAAGAAAGTTGGTATATCAGTCAAAGTCGTCCACGAGACTAGAACCAGTCAAAGTCGTTGCTCATTGGATTACTTTCGTTCTGTTTCCAGTCACCCACGAGACAAAATTGACTTTAAGTCAATGTTTGTGCTTTTAAAATAGCTAGTTGGGGAGAAAGGCAGAGCAAAAGGCCGAGCAAAAGCTTGATCAGTAGTGTTGGGGAGAAGGGCAGCTAAAGGTAATTTCTGTCTGCTTTTATATTATTGGCCTCAAAGTTTGATCAATAACCTTGTTTTCTCAAAGTTGTCATACTAAATAATAAAAGATACAATCCCAGGTTCCTCACCCCTTCTTCCCTTCCCAACAGCTAGAATCATCTTTCTCCCCTACAATATTTTTGAATGATTTTACTTGTTGGGCACTAAATTCGTTTTGGGAAGGTAGCAATTATGTCATGTGACTCACTAATTTTTATTGCCACAGCCTGACCCACATATTCCAGCCCATGTGAGGGACCCTGGTCGGCCTAACGTTAGCTTTAAGCCCTAATAATTTGGGCCGGCCCATTGAGAATTCCTAAATTAATTAATTAATCCAAACCCATCATCATCTACTAGAGAGATGAGAAGTACACACAAGAAAAATGGACATTTTGCACCATATTTTATGCTTATTTAGTTATATTAAATATGTACATGCTGATTGAAAATCTAATATTCTTTACCAATGCCGAACCCTAGCCCCCTTTCTATCAAAAAACCCTCCTAGGGCCGTTTTTATTTTGACTGGGAAGGAAGTCATGGTTCTTTCTTCCCTCTCCCCTCTTCTCTTCCTCCCTCTATTCTTCCCTCATTTTTAAAGACAAAAGGTTTTCGTCTTCTTTTTGTTATCTTTGCATCTGATCTCTACTTACGCTTCGACATTGGATCTTTACCACCATCTTTTTTGTTATTTCTTTATATTCGGAATAAGTCACAAAGACTCTTTGGGTTCTCTATGTAGTTTTCATCTCTTCTTTTGTAAGAGCTTTTCATCTCTCCTTTTGTGAGAGTTTTTCATCTCTCCTTTGCGAGACCTTTTCATCTCTTTTTTGTGAGACATTTTCATCTCTCCTTTGTGAGGCTTTTTCATCTCTCCTTTGTAAAAGTTTTATTTGTATTGTTATGGTTTTGTTTTTTCCAGCTTTTTCCCTTTTTGATTATTTTGTTAGTTTGTAATGGCCCTTTGTGGCTAGTTTGTATTAGTCATTTGTGGCTAGTGGCTTTTTTGACTGAATTATGAACTCAATCTTTGAATTTCTCAACAATAACAAAATCTAATATTCTTTTAATGGTGGATCGATAATTTTTGAAATTTAAAGAAACGTTGAAGTAATTAAGAGGACCTACTAGATGAGGTATTTGTTTTTTGAACCAAAACTTCTTGTACTATCCAAAGCTTGAGAATTAATTCTCTTAAGTCATCTATGTGTTTCATGTTGAAAACATGAAGTTCATGAACCTTCTATTTCTCCCAATGGAAAGCGATGTCGTGAGAAATTAATTACATTGGTTTAATTTTTCCCAACTGCACTTATGACACTGCTGATCAAGAATTATGTCAATCAGATCGATTCAAAGCTTCTAGATTAATCTAGAAAGATGAAAAAACTTGAAGGCTTAAGCCACTCATATGGTGCCAGAGGCCAGTGAAAAGAAGGTTTTTCTAGATGGTCGGTAATATTTTGAATGGTACCTTTCTACCAGCTCATGACCAAGAATGAAAAATTTGGTATGAAAATAAGGTTTTTTTTGTCGGCGTTTTTTTCTTTTTTCACATGTTGGTGGGCTGTTGAACGGGATTGAGATACATGGCTCTAAAGTAGCTATAAATAAGAACCGCTTCTTTCAAATAGAACGACTCATCACACTCTTGCTTCCCCCTCAATTTATATCTTCTAATTAGTGATCATCATCTTCTTAGTTAAGTTTAGAGATGGCTGAAGTTGCTGCTGCTCAAAGCACGGAGGCATTGAAAGTAACGAGCATCAAATCACTTGCTGAATCACCTGCTCTCAACTCTGTTCCTTCTGCATATGGCTTCACCATAAACCCCAACGATGAAGCAGATCCCAACGACCCTGAATTCGCAATTCCCATCGTCGACATGTCTCTTCTCACCTCAGGATCTCCAGAACAACGGTCAAAAATCATCCATGACCTCGTCAAAATTTGTCAAGAGTGGGGCTTCTTCATAGTAAGTGGACATGCAAATATACATGCAGTTACATTATCAACGTATTAAAAAATTACAACTTATTATAATCATGTGCATTGCAGGCCATTAACCATGGAGTCCCTGAGAGCCTCATGAAGGCGATGATCGAAACATGCCATGGATTTTTCAGTTTACCAGACGAGGAGAAGAATGAGTTCAAATCGGGGAACGATGTGCTAGAGATGTTCAAGTATGGAACTAGCTATAATCTGGCATTGGATAAATTCCTTCTCTGGAGGGACTTCTTCAAGGTCAGAGTGCATCCCGAATTCTACTCCCTCTACAAGCCGGCTTGCTTCAGTGAAGTCTCAATGGAGTTCAGCAAGAGAGCCCGAGAAGTTGCGTTGGAGATAACAAGAGCAATCTCAGAAAGCTTGGGGTTGGAGCCAAACTACATACACAACGCCATGAACATGGATCGTGGCATACAAATGCTCGCCGCCAACTACTACCCGCCTTGCCCTCGGCCAGAACATGCAATTGGCATACCCCATCACACTGATCATGGCCTTGTCACCCTTCTCATCCAGAATGAGATGAAAGGCCTCCAAGTTGAGCACAACGGCAAATGGCTCACCGTTGATGGCCCTCCCAACGGTTTCTTTGTTAACCTCGCTGACCAGATGCAGGTTTTTTAATTTTTAATTTTTCTCAACTCAACATGTTATACAATAATTTATCTAAACTTGTTTGGTTTCTTACAGATTCTTACTAATGGTAAATACAAGAGCGTAATGCATCGAGCCACCGTGAACAACAAAGCTACAAGGATATCGATCGCCATACCGCATGGACCATCTGTAGATACAGTTGTTGCACCAGCTCCAGAGTTGTTGGAAAAGGAAGGCCAAGCTCCTAAATACCTTGCCATGAACTACAAGGAATATATACAGCTTCAACAAAGTGGCAAGAACTATATGAAGTCTACCTTTGATCACATACGAGTCTAAGCTTTTTACCGTGGGCTAGCTTTGTCACGTTTCAACCATATTGAAAGAGCTGCAGCAGATTCCCTTTTTTTTCTTTTAAATAATGCCATCTCTGTTTTTTTTTTTTTTTTTTTTTTTTTAATGATCTAGTAGCCCAAAACTAGAGTTTATGTAATGAAATTTGTTATTTGATAAAATAAAATAAAAACATATTAAATAAACTATTGGCCTTAAGTCATAATTTCAGTGTTGAAAACTGTACAATACTTTTATTGAATACTTAAAGAGAAAATGAAGATAAAGAAACAGAGATGGTGAAGCAACATCCTTCAAGCGCTAAACCAATCAACAAGCATGGAAATTGAAGCCTCAGAATAGCCAGTCAAAAGCGAGTTGGCACCCTCGACTCGGCTGAAAATCGAAGCTAAGACAGTTGAGTTGATCCCTCTTTTTGCTTGCACCTCCTGGCTAGACCCAGCATCAGTTGAGCCCGAGGCATTAGAGGCAAGGATTTGATCCTTTCGGGTCCGCTTGTTCATCTCACTACTCCACATACTTGCCACTGCAGACATGACTGAATGTCGTCAACCTTGAAATGCTTGTGAAAGGGGAAGATTTTGAAGCTTTGGGGGACTTGGTAGGTTCTATATATAAGGTTGTGTATATATATATCTGTGGCTTGTTTTTATAAAAACAAGCACCTACGTTGGTCGGTTTCATTCAACTTTCTTGTCTGGCCCAGGCTAGTCTGGCCACAGGAAGTCCCAAAAACCACGGCAAGCTAGCTAGTGGTATTAGAAAAGAACGATATGGAAATGAAAACATTGGGCATTTACTTATCCTATGTATCTCATATGGCTTCCTGTATTTCTTTTCCTAATGGCCCAAAATCGTAACTTTAGTTAGGTTAAGTAAGAGAAATTCTTAGGTCCGGCAAGTAGAATATATCACCAGTCTGACCACAAATCAGTATTTGGAGAAAAACTTGTACACCACGGGAATAACACTGTTTTGCTTGGTAACACTGTTTTGCTATCTCCAACCGATCACGCTTTAACACATGTAATAAAAATTCCACACTACATGTGATAAAGATTCCACACTACAGAGCATATTGGATGGAATGTTTTGCTATCCTCGTGACATGCAAATCTTCCTCCAGTATTTGGGTCGCCCTTCAGAGAATGATAATAATAAATACGATTCCCGAGAGTCAAACTGAGTACCAAAATCTGGATCAGATTTTATCAAAAGAGGACTGGATTTAGTTTAGTGCATCTTTTTATTAAGAATACCACTGCTCTGTTTGGTTACTTTCAACTGTCATTCTTACCATCCTTCCCCAATACAGAAGAAATCTAGAAGAAGAAAAAAATGTTAAAGAAAGGGAACTCTCGAAGTTTCCAACTATGAAAGAGGATGGCGCTGTCCAAAAACTAAGCATTTCAGGTTGTGTTGTAGTTTTGGTATTCCTGCAGAGATGAAGATCCTGCTCTTTCTGAAACGCAACCTGTGGAAAAATAAACTGATTGCCTATCAAAATGGTAGGAGAAGAACTGGACAACCTGGCTGAGCATATATAAACGCAAAAGAGTAATTCTGGGAAAAAATGCATTTAAATATACAGCAGAACAAAAGATTGATGCTGCACTCACATTGGTAAGCAAATTTGAGATACGGACCTCGTGTTGGTTTTCTAGAGACTGCTTTTGGAGATACTGAGAATGGAGCAGAGATAAGCAAATGTGATACACCACGCAAGCCAGCTGCCACAAATCCAAAATCCTTAAAATTGCAACTGTGGAAAAACCTTTTTCAAACCTCCAACAGTTTTCTACTTTGGATAATAGTGTGTGAGGTTGTCCCATCTTCATAAAAGGACTAAAGCAGTGCAGGCAGCTAAGCAAGCCCTTGTTTTGTTCGGAAATCGAGTTCAGCTTCAAGCTGCAAGACTTGTTCGCATGAAACGTTCATTAATTTATTCAAGGCACCCTATGTCCTCTGCCTAATCAACTGCTGACCGTTATAGGGTGGGCACATGCCTAATGCAGTTATTGGACATTCGTGGCCAGTTTCTTTCCAAAGATAACCGTGGCACATTTAATGATCAGGGGCCATGAGATTTGAAACGAACAGAAGGCTGGTGTTGCTGAAGTTTGCCAAGGATGCAAAAGGTTCCATGCTCGATTGTCTGATTATGCACGGCAAAAATGAACCACCCCAACATTCCTGACCTCATCATCACCTTCTCCTTGTTTGCCCTTTGATGAAAACACCATTCTCTTCTTAGCCCCTACCTTGTCTTTCAGCTTTGCCAACTCGCTCATCCAAACCTCCACCACTGCAGACATGCTTGAACTTGAAAACTTGAAATTCTGGCTTGGTCTTGACTATTGAGTTTGATCAAGGATGATGAGGAGAGCTGGCTATTATGCTTGTTGGGTTATATAGAAGAGAGAGAAAGAGAAAGAGGGCCTTGCCCTTCATGTGGTTTGGATTGGATGAAAAATCAGTGTGTCACAGACAGCCGCTGGTTATAGGCTCGCACACAGGATTTAGTTTTAGGAATATTCCTTGGGAAGAGAGAGAGAGAGAGAGAGACTAGAAAGTGGGGTATGAGTTTTGTTAGGTGAATGAAAAGCTCCCCGTGAGCGGGCGCACGGAACTCTCTTCTTTAGATTGTGGGCAACTTGGCATATTGCTATTCATCAATAGTATTCCATTGCATCTCAGTTTTTCTTTTGTCTTATTCCAACATTGCAAATCTCTTTCTCCGAAATACCTATTCACCTCTTCATCATCATCTTCAATAAAAGTAGCCATCTTCATTATCTTCACAGCTGAAGTAGTCATGTTCCGAGTCTTGCTCATCTTCACATAGATCAACACAATTATCTCCATCAAACCTCTCATTAGCATCTTCCAAGTCATCAGATTCAGACTCACAATCTTCCTTAAATATAGACAGGTCTTCATCATCCCGTGTCATTACCAGGTGGACCCCGAAGCTTTTAAAACACAGCGAATCTTGTGTCAAATTCTGAAAATTAACTCGACACACAAAAGGCGACTGCGGCCAGGTAATCTGATCATCCCGGTAAAACATTTCTCTGAATCGAATATAGCACAGCCACACATGACACGACCCTATCTTTCTGAAATGGTAATCGAACTGAATAAAATGAGGTACCACTTCTGGTTGATTGACAGAAATTCTTGTTAGAAAACCATGGTAACGTCGTCTTTTATTTTGTGGGTTTTCAACAGCAGCATATAGAGCCAATCCTTGGTTCTGGCATTTGAAGTTTGCAGGGATTTCAATCAAAAGTTCACATGCTTCATCACGCTCCTTCACATCCTTATGACAGCTGAACAATGTCGAGAGAGCTTCAAAACTTGCTGGAAATACAACCTGAAATCCATGTTTCTGTGAAGACAGAAGGTGATCAAAGAAGAGTGTGATCTGCTCCTTTGCTAAAATGTTTTGCTTCTTTGTGAGGTCACGAGCCAGATTGCCGCACAGTCTCTGGCAATTACACAAGTCCACCAACTCAATCATTTGTGAGTCTTTTTTACCTTTCAGAATGTTGGACAATGATGAAAACCTTTCCAATGATATGCAATCACTCGCCTCTAACTTTACTATTTTTGGTGGAAGTTCAGGAATATCTTGAAGCCTCTTGCAGCCATGCAAGTAAAGCTCCCGCAAATTGACAAATTTCGTAATGCATACGGGAATACTTACAAGGAAATCACTTCTTGTTAGATCAAGTGCGCTCAATGTAGACACACAATCAAGAGTTCTGAGGAAATTAATTTCTGATAAATTGCTTCCTTCCAAAGTGAATGCCTCAAGTCTGGGAAGCGCTAAAGGATGTGATACTGCACTCCCCAAAACTTCAGACTTCACTTTATTTGGAAATGTAACAAGCTTTCGACTTCCTTGGAGACAAATGTGGTTTAGATGTTCCAACTCATAAATGCTGGGTGGCAGATTCGTAAGATTTTCACAACTCCTTAGGTCTAAAAATTCAAGACTGATGAGATATGCAATTGACGCAGGCAATTCTTTGACGCCACTACCAGATAGAAACATGCAACGTAAGGAATCCATCTTTCCCCCAATTTCAGGGAAAGTCTCCAGTCTTCTGCAATCTTCAAGATTGAGAACTTCTAGAGATTTTGACTTGATTATCGGAAATAGTGTGAGGTTATGGCATCTCACAAGACTCAAGTCAACAAGCTTGTCATGAAATCCAACAGAAGGATGAACCTCAACTAAACTCGTGCAGTCGTCCAGATTCAAGGACTGTAAGTTTGGAATTCCAGAGATATTTGGGGTTTTTGTTAGGAATTCACAGCTCTCAAAATTCATGGACTTCAAATTTTTCAAACGCTATATAAGACAAAAATAGAAAAGAAAAAGAAGGATCAAACGATAAGGCATAAACAAGTGCAAGTCATAACACAACAAACTTAATAAACTTTTGAAAATACGAAGGGATGAAAATAATTTAAATTACCTTGAATCCCTCCCCAAGTTGTGACAAGCGGCTACAAGGCATATAAAGTTCAACAAGTTTCCTTGGATTGAAAGTAGATGGTAAAGTTTGTAGAGGACAATCAGGCCAATAAAGAAACCTCAACTCATTAGATAGATAATCCACGTGATCACCATAAAATTGTGCATTCACATTGATGAAAAGTCGAAGGTTTTTCATCTTTGAGAAGCTGTCACAACTCAAGCATATGTCATCTGGTGTCGGAAACTTCGCTATGATGCCTTTGAAAATTTGGATCTGCCCGTTGGGTCCCACTCTAACAACACCGATACTGTCCCCACTTTACCACCCGCCCAATCCGTCAGGTGTGAGGTTTTTATCACAAAAGGCCTCGGTATTAGTTAGAGTGTGGTAATTCTATTTAAACCCATTTGTTTTCTTTCACTCCACCGATGTGGGATTCCAACACTCCCCCTCACGTGTAATCACACGTGAAGATCCACACATCGGCAATTGAAACTCAGAGGTCGGCTCTCGTTGGGCCCACTTGTTTTCAATGGAACTCAGAGGTCGGCTCTTTTCAAGCTTTTCTTTTTTCTTTTTCTTTTTTAATTTTTTTTTTTATTTTTTATGACAAGCGTCGTTAGCTTGTACGGGCCTTGGCTCTGATACCATGTTGAAAATTTGGATCTGCCCGTTGGGTCCCACTCTAACAACACCGATACTGTCCCCACTTTACCACCCGCCCAATCCGTCAGGTGTGAGGTTTTTATCACAAAAGGCCTCGGTATTAGTTAGAGTGTGGTAATTCTATTTAAACCTTTGTTTTCTTTCACTCCACCGATGTGGGATTCCAACACTCCCCCTCACGTGTAATCACACGTGAAGATCCACACATCGGCAATTGAAACTCAGAGGTCGGCTCTCGTTGGGCCCACTTGTTTTCAATGGAACTCAGAGGTCGGCTCTTTTCAAGCTTTTCTTTTCTTTTTTTTTTTTTTTAAATTTTTATTTTTTTTTTTTATGACAAGGGGCGTTAGCTTTGACGGGCCCTGACTCTTAACCCAT